GAGGGTCAGAGAGAGAGAGGGAGACACAGAATCTGAAACAGGCTCCAGGCTCCGAGCTGTCAGCACAGAGCCTGACGCGGGGCTCGAACTCACGGACCGCGAGATCATGACCTGAGCCGAAGTCGGCCACTTAACCAACTGGGCCACCCAGGCGCCCCTCCAAATGCTTCTTTAGGGAAGCATGACCCCGACCTGTGTTCTTTGCTTTCTGCCATCTCTCTTCAGTCTCCAGGAGTGCAGCATGAAGGCTCATCACAGAGTCACAAGAATGAGATTTGAGCACTAAGAATGCATGTCCCGGCCTCCCCGTACACACACTGGCTGCCCAGCAGGAAACCTGCAGTGAACGAGGTCCCCAGCTGTGGCCCCAGGCAAAGGGGCAGCTTGGACATCACTGATATTTCACCGGAATCAGAGTGTGCTCTCGGCCCCCAAGCCTGTTATGTGATAGCCAACTGTCCTTGGAAACAAGGCCTTTGCTGGCTTCTGGGGGTTTAGGGTTTTCCTTAAGCTCTGGATTCCTCTTGGCTTCTCTACACTTGGAGCTTACATCTGGAAAAGCAACCTCATTCTCTGGTCAGCTACCATGTGGTTTCTTTCTACAAATAAACTTTGCTGAAGGAATGTTCTGAGCACACGGCCTGTTGTCCCCCTTCCTCACCCCCAGCAGCATCTAGGCTGGGCCTCCTATAACATCAGAGCCACACTCCCCCCAGGATACCCAGTTCCTTTCCTGTGAATCCCCCACTCTCAGGACCCAGCATGGAGGCTACCCCCTGCTTTCCCTATCTCGGCCTCAGCAGCCAGCTCCATGTTGCAAGCTGTCCATCTCTGGTCCAAACATAGCCTCCTGACACTAGTCTTTTCCTGCTGGCTGCAGGTCCTGCTTAGCTTATTTTTCTGTGACCTCCACCCCCCAACCCCATACTCCAGGGGGGGTGAGGAGAGGTCACCATCATGACCTCTGACCCATGCCAGTTGCCCCATGACGAAGTAGAAGTCAAGATGTCAAAGCTCTTCCTAAGCCAGTTCTTGGTGGCCTAAGCCAGTATTGTATTGTATGTACATTCCAAGCCCCAAGCTGCTGTGACCCCGACCATGATTGTCTCTTTTCCTTGGGTATCGTCTCCAGCAGAGAAACTGACTATGTCCCTTCCTCTGGGTTTGCTTCTCCATATCAGACGTAGTATGACAGGACATTTCCAATGGGCACACCTTCCCTATCGTCAGCCCCTCAGGTAGGGCTTCTGTCCATGTGACTCTGGTCCCTCTCGCATCTAGGAGGCTGGACTTGGGATACCCTTTAGACGTGCAAATAGCAGGCAGTAAGGACCCTTTTCCTATCTGATAACACATAGAAAGCAGACAAAGGCTTGAAGGAAGATAAGTAGGATGAGGACAATGCCATGAAGAAAGGTTGACTGTAAGTAAAAGTATTTGCAAAACATTTGCTCGTGAGCCATCGTCCGTCTGTTCTGCTGCCATAAAAACATCCCACACAAGCTGATAAGAAAATTCTCAATGAAAACCTTGAAAAATGGGCAGAATTTATGAAAAGGCAATGCTCACACTCATACAGAGATACACCCACAAGATAAGTGAAGTATCTAAAATGGAATGTGTCCAATTTCACTGACTGCTGGTGAAATAAAATGCAAGTAAGTATGAGAAGCCAATTCTCACCCATTAGATTGGCAAAATATTAAAAATAATGATCATTCCCAGTGCTGGCAAGATGTTTTGTCAAGAACTGCAACGGGTCTGGAATGTTATCCCACTTGCATAGTTTTTGCACTTTATATGTATGAATACCATAGAAACACAAGGCACTTGGATGGGGGAAAGCATTCTTT